AGGGAGATGAGTTTGTATCCATCCTACATTGACAGTGGGGATAAAGCTCTGGGTTGCCTCACGTTAATCCCAATTTCTTACGAGGCACGTTATAACCTAGAAACCTGTTCAGTTGCATCTCTCCCTTGAAGAGTATATGTACCAAGAAGAGTCAAGGTATTTTCTATACTATAACAAGAATAGAGATATTTTACTTAATACGTAATTAATATTTAAGAGTAATAGTTGAGGGAACTATTTAGAAATGAAAAAGAATCAACCCTGTGTAAAAACAAATAGGAAAGACCTCTCCAGTGCCCTGTGGGAATGGCATGGGAAGAGAATTGGAAGTAAAGATAGCTAGAATATGTGGACAGGGGTTGAGGTCAAGGATGTATAGATTTCTGAGCAAGGGCAGGACAGTTATATAGTTATTTACTTTTCTATGAGATGTAAACCTGAGGCTTCAGAACTGTAAACAAAGCAAAGACACCTGCTACCTACCAACTTTAGCCAGAGTGCATAACTGTTTTCCATTCAAATTAGCAGTTAGTGTATTCATCCTTTGTTATAATTGAGTTTTCGTAATGTGCCATGAGCTATACAGTAAGGCATCTTCACCAACAAGAGCCAATATTCTTAGGAAGTGGTTAGCCTTCTTCAGTGATGGAGTGATTACTTCTTGGCATTTAAAATAGTGTCATTTTACATCAAAAACAAAACCAGAGGTATATTCTGGTGTTTGCAGAGTAGCATGCTCCTTTCTATCCCTTTTTCCTGCCAAGAAAATTGATGATAACAGATCAACTTCTATAAATTCCATGGATTTGTGCAGAATGCATTCCACAGGAGAAATCTTTTTAGGAATTCACTATGATTCCAAATGGGAATTATGGCATACTGTTGTGATTCCCTGAGATTCTTTTTTCTTGATGGAGTTAGGAACAAAATGCTAACTCACTGCCTTATTCTTGGAGTAGAGGCAAACAGCAATTCCAGATAAATGTGTAGGATAAAATGTGTGGGACGCAGGTTGAAAAATAGAACATTTTACATATGCTGATTGAAAGTGGTTTTGAACAAGTAGTAAAGGCATCATTTCTTCATTAGTTCATTCCACGTTTATTTACTGGATGCTTACTTCGTGCCAGGCACTGTCCTGGGTGCTGGGAAGGGATATAGCCTTCCATGAAACAGTCTGAGCTCAGACTTCCCTCTCAGGTGACCATAATAGGGCCCAGAACAGGTCTGGATCATCCTCTTTACATTAATTATTATTTTTCCACTTCCTGTCTCCAGGAGACAGTGCTGGCTTCCCTTTTTGTTTGTAACCGTCAGGCATGAGTCATCCTTTAACCATGAGTATTGCAGAATTGCAGAGCACATTCCAGCCTAATCTGTCCTGCTGCCAGGGTCTCAGCCAGCAGCTGTCTGTCTTCTGACAATCATGGTAGAGCAGTGAGAACAACTGCACAAGGTAATCAACTGGGGAAGGCAGAGGAGAGAGCACAGTACCTGTTTTCCGTCCATTTTTGCTTAGTACAAGATTTATTTAGGAGTTGGTGGCTCCTTTCTAGATGCCAGTATATCAGGCCATACCCTACCATTAGAAAGCCCTAAATCCATTTTTTAAAAAAAAATGAACTTGTACCTATGAGCAAATAAGATCAATTGGTCTCCCAAAAATGATATTGGTCTTACAAATGGAGTTGGCAGCTTTGGCTGATGGTTCTATTGCCTACACAGAATGGTCCTTTGAGGAAAAACCTGAAATTTTATGTTAGAATTTTAAGAAAATCCATCAAAAAAATAAGCAAACAAAATTCTTCCTGAAATTTTTCTAAACAATACAGAGTTTGCACACCTCTGAAGACGTTAGGAGTTTGTGTACTTTCTTTGGTTTTGAATATTTAGGCTTTCTTCCTCTAATAAGTTTGTTGGTTTTTTTTCTTTTTTATTTCTTTTTTATAAAAAGAGGGTCTCACTCTTGCTCAGGCTAGTCTCGAACTCCTGAGCTCAAGTGATCCTCCCACCTGCCTCGGCCTCCCACAGTGCTAGGATTATAGGCATGAGCCACCATGCACGGCACCTGTAATAAGTTTGAATGATTGATTTATATCTTTAAAAAATATGTATATTTAGGGAAGCTTTGCAATATGAAAAACATTTCCACCTATAATTCTCTACTGTAATATAACTGTTTTCATTTCTTAGAATTCTTTTAATCATTATCTAATTATTACATGTGATTATTGTTGGCATTTATGCCATTGTATGTTCTATTCTAAACCTTAAAATTTCTTACTTACCAACTTTTTAAATATTCTTCACTGACGTAATTCATGCTCTAGCATGTGTGACTCAGGGTAGTGAAAGGGGGTTTGTTTTGAATAGCAAGATAAGTGTCAGACTAGTCTTCCAACCAGAAAGCATTCCATGCAATTTGTGCACAGATGAGACAGCACATTTCTTCTTGGCCTAGGCTTAGGCGGAGAGTAGGTAGATTTATGCAGTGTTTGTTCAAATTACAAATGGTGAAATGCTAAAAACACTTTGAGCTTTAGGGAGTTCAAAGTGGCCAGGCAAACGAAAGTTATGTGACCTACCCGAGAATAAAGCTTAGCTTGTTTTTAGGAAAAAAGTTGAGAACTTTGTGCTTTGTTGAGGCTGGAAAAAATTTTAAAAAACAAAACACATAGCAAGTGTCAGTGTCAATGGAAAAGAGATACCAGACATAATAGGCTGGCATTTCCAATCCTTTCTTATTTAAAGAGGGAGATCAAAAAGGAAAAAGGCCCAGATTTTGATTTCTTTTAATCTTTATCAAAAATGAATACTGCTCAAATAAGGTGAGGAATGAAATCAGAATTTTAGTATGAAAGACGTAAACAAAATTGCTTATCTTTTATTAGATTTCAAATGAAATAAATATTCAACATCTGATAACTGTCAAGGACACAAACGTGAGCATACCTGTATTGAGTTCCTCTACAACTCTGTAGATGATAGAATTCAGTGGAAGATTGATTCTGAGTTTGCAGACCCCTGACGACGTCAGTAGTTTGTGTACCTGTGATGGTGATACGGGCATGAGTCCCCAGTCAACCCTTTCCATCTGGAATGCCAGGCAGAGTAGGACATTTCAGAGATACAGAGGAGCATCCTCTGCAGTGGTTGGAAATATATGCTCTTATGTGCTTCGAAACTTCTTGGAAAAGAAGTATTAATAGAACACAAAGCAGAAAGTATAGGCTGGGGAAAGGACCTGTGGAAGGTTTGTTTCTAAACCAAAGCTCATTCTTGAAACTCCCTTTAGGAACTTGAGTGTATTAGGACTGGGTTCAGTTGTGTGTAATAGACCATCAGAAAAACAGGAGGCTTAAACAACATAGAGGGTTGGTTTTTTTTGTCATGTAAAAGAAGTCTGGAGAGCCCGGGTGTGGTGGCTCACGCCTGTAATCCTAGCACTCTGGGAGGCTGAGGCAGGAGGATCGCTTGAGCCCAGGAGCTTGAGGTTGCTGTGAGTTAGGCTGACGCCACGGGCAACAAAGCAAGACTCTGTCTCAAAAAAAAAAAAAAAAAGAAGTCTGGAGCTAGTCAGCTCTTGTTTTTGCTTCATCATCCTAGCTCTGGCTTCTGCCATCAGGTTTGCCTTAGGGCTTCTGGATAACCGCTGCTGTTCCAGCTGTCACATCTGTGCTCCAAGCAGGGAGAAGGGCAGTGACAAAGGGCATACTTCCTGGTAGAACCAACCCCCTTCTCTCCCAAAGAGTTTTCCCGGAAGTCCCACCCACTTATTGGCCACCCCTATCTGTAAAGGACATTGCCTACCCCAATAATGTAGAGACTAAATATTGGATAGGCAATCCTTGGTCTCAGCCATTCCAAGTGTTCATATTCTCAAAGATATTATCAAGACTTAGGTGGCTAAGACTTTGGATACCTGCAAACTCTTATAATAGGACAGTAATGATGTTTGGTGAACCTGGCTTTTAGTTTGCTGCTTAAATGATTGGTTCAACAATATTGAGGACTGGCCAGGTGCAGTGGCTCACGCCTGTAACCTTAGCACTCTGGGAGGCCGAGGTGGGAGGATCACTTGAGGTCAGGAGTTCAAGACCAGCCTGAGCAAGAGCGAGACTCCGTCTCTATTAAACGTAGAAAAAATTAGCCAGGCGTGGTGGCACGAGCCTGTAGTCCCAGCTATTCGGGAGGCTGAGGCAGGAGGATGGCTTGAGCCCAGGAGTTTGAGGTTTCTGTAAGCTAGGCTCATGCCACAGCACTCTAGCCCAGGTGACAGAGCAAGACTGTCTCGCAAAAACAAACAAACAAAAAAACCCCCAATATTGAGGATTTACTATATGCTAGGCACTGGAGCTACAACAGTGAAAAAAATAGACCTGGTCCCTGCCCTCAAAGTGTTTACAGACTAATGGGGGGAAATAGGTTTTAAATAAGTGAGTTGTGAATATGTTGAACATTAAGAAAGGGAAGTAAAGAGTGCTCGCGATTGTGTAACCGAAAAGGCTCTGTACAGATGTGCCGTGATGTGCACATGGAGACTGAAAGGATACTTGGGAGTTAGCAGTTTAGAAAGGTGGGGATGGGGGTGTGAGAGAAAGGCAAGAGGGGGAGGAACGTTCCAGGCATACTCCCTCCCCGTCTGATAACTTCCATAACAATTCCTTTTTCTTCCATTATTTATTTCTTCATCAGAGGGAATCAGTGGGAGTGTCTAAGCAACAAAGGAAAGCAGGGACCAAATATCCTTTTTATCTGAAATGGCTAGCGGGACTGCCATCCTTTCTGCTTGTTTGTGTTTCGCTCTCTGGATGCGTGCCCGCCTTCATAGGCTGCACCAGGGGTGTTGGTAACCGAGGAAGGAAGTGGACAGATGATTGGGGCACACTGAGATCTCATTGCTCCATCACAGATCTGGATTTGGGTCTCGGTGTGGGACTTTGGGGAGGTGCGGATCGTTTCTGACCCTGAGGTGCTGACTGGCCCCCTTCCCCTTCCAGGAAGTGGACATTGTGGTCGCACCATGCCAAGGCCTCCGGCCCACCGTGGATGTTCTGGGCGACTTGGTGAATGATTTCTTGCCTGTGATAACCTATGCACTCCACAAAGATGAACTCTCTGAGAGGGACGAGCAGGAGCTTCAGGAAATCCGAAAGTATTTCTCCTTTCCCGTGTTCTTTTTCAAAGTGCCGAAGCTGGGCTCAGAGATAATAGACTCCACCAGGAGAACGGAGACCGAAAGATCACCGCTTTACCGCCAGCTGATTGACCTGGGCTATCTGAGCAGCAGTCACTGGAACTGCGGGGCTCCCAGCCAGGACACTAAAGCTCAGAGTGTGTTGGTGGAACAAAGTGAGAAGCTGAGACACTTGAGCACATTTTCTTACCAGGTGCTACAGACACGCCTGGTGGACGCGGCCGAGGCCCTGAACCTGGTGCACTGCCACTGCCTCGACGTCTTCATCAACCAGGCCTTTGACATGCAGCGGGACCTGCAGATTACTCCCAAACGCCTGGAATATACTCGAAAAAAGGAGAATGAGTTGTATGAGTCACTGATGAATATTGCCAACCGAAAGCAGGAGGAAATGAAGGATATGATTGTTGAGACACTCAACACCATGAAGGAGGAACTTCTAGACGATGCTACCAACATGGAGTTTAAAGGTATGTCTCCGAGAGCTTGTTGGGGAGCTGGGACTACAGGAGCCTCTAACCCTTTTCTAGCTGGAGATTGAGTACATCGATTCTTAAGGTTAAAGGAACTTCACAGTAATTTCATCCACCCCACTGTTACCAGCAGGAGCCCACCTTAAAGCACTTAGCCAAGCTGGCCTATCTTGCTTTCAGATACCTTTCTGGAAGATTCCACCGTCATTCCCTCCCAAGAACATTTGCCCAGTTTTTCCTGAATTCATCCTAATAGCTCTCTAATCTCCACTTTCTATCTGTATCCCCTTGTCCCCAATGAAGGTGAAGAATGTTAGTAAATCGTGCTTTAACAAGGCCGGGTGCAGTGGCTCATGCCTGTAATCCCAGCACTCTGGGAGGCCAAGGTGGGAGGATCCCTTGAGCTCTGGAGTTTGAGACGAGCCTGATCAAGAGCAAGACCCTGTCTCTTTAAATTTAAAAAACAATTTTTTTTAAAAAAGGTTAAGTAATTTGCCCAAGGTCACACAACTAGTAAATAATAGAGGCAGGACTTGAGTGTAGATAGTCTAATTCCTGAGCCCATACTCTTAATTTCCATGTTTTACTGTTTCTTAATCTGTTCCCAGTTATTGATGCCACCTTCTTCCTAGTACCCAGCTTCAAAACCTCAGCATGGTCTTTAACTGTCTTCTTTCAGTTGTCTAATCAATCAGTTGTCACGTACTGATGAGTTTTCTTCCATATTTTATACCTACCTTTTCTATTCTGTCTTCTTTAGTCTAACTGAACTATTGTTACCTAATCTATCTCCCTGACCTCTTTTTCTTCTTTCTCCAGCTTATCTTTACTGATTCTGATTACTACAGAGTAAGTTTAAATTGCTCTGCCTACTATTAAAGACTTTCCAAAGCCTAGCCCTTACCAACTTTTCCAGTCTTATTTTCCATTGTGCACCTTCCTGTAATTTCTATTTTGGTTGGTTTTAACTGTTTATGGGCCAACATACACCTTTTTTTCACCTTTTCTTTGCTCATGCCCTGCCTTAAACCTGAAATGGCTTTTATTTGTGAATTTGCAAATCCTACCTACCCTCCAAGGCCTCTCCCAAATGCTATTTTTCACAAAAATCTTTAATTTTCATAGGTAGTAACAAATGCACTCATCAGAATTCCCACAGCATTTCATCTGTAGCTTATCCCTGGCATTTCACTGTCTGCCTTTTATTATAGTTATTTATATTCTCCTGTTTTCTAAAATCCTAGGGTTAAAGGAGAATAGGAACTGAGTCTTATTCACCACATCCCTTGCAGCAAATAACAGACTCGTGTACACGGTGCCTCTTTGGAGAATGAATGAGTTTGTGAATGGTGGATCTAGCTAAGTCACACTTACAAATACAAAGGAAATATAGTTGACTTAGCAGGCATAGGATGCCTGGTTTTTTATAGGTCTTTCTAGAGATGAACAAAGAAGAACTCCCCATTGCAGGGTGGAGTTGCTGAGAAACGCTCACTTGCAGTGGATATCCTTGGAAGTCTTCTCAGTATTTAATTAAAGACACTGGCACATCAATGCTGGCGTCACAGTGCGTGCGATGAAGGGAGGTAGGGCAGCTAGGTTGGGCAGACAATGAAATATTTGATTGTCTGTTATTGCCCAGGTCTGGTGTCTGGGATACAGTGGTTAGCTAAACAGACGTGGGAGTAACTGGAACAAGTACTAATAGATCAAATGTCTGGCTCTGTTAACTACATTATGGATTTGTGGATATATAAACTGTACTGAGTTGATCATCATTGTATATATACATCCTTGGGGCTTGTGAGGGTATATTTCAAGAAAAAGAATTCCTAGAGGATGAATAGTCAGGCCAAAGGGTATGTGAATTTTTCTTAGTTGGTTGGTTGGTTTAAAATTTTGATAATTATTGCCAAATTTCCTCTGAAGAGTGGCACCAATTTAAGTTTCTATCAGTAGATGTAAGAGTGCCTTTTTAGGAACAGATATTTTTGCAGATATTTTGACTTCTCTTAAGTTCTTCTGTTCTTTGTTTTTCAAAGTAGGTTTTCTACTGCTAAAAGGTAGTGTGGCGTGGTGGGGGCAACAATTGAGTTTTACTTTTTATTTATCTAGTAATTAATTAGTAAAAAACTCCTGACTCTTAGATTTTTCTCACTAATGTGCTGGGCAGTATGGAATTTTGCAAAGACCACAGGCTTTGGAATTAGTGAGCTTTGGATTCACATGTTAGCTATATTCCTTCTTAACTGTACCATCCCCTTTCCAAGCCCACTTTGTCCTCTCTTTGAGGCTGTTTCCTGGTCTATAATACCCACCTGATAAAGTTACTATGAAGATGAAATTAGATTACATAAATAAAATGTTTATTATAGTGCCTTTCTTATAGTTCACACTCAATAAATATTGTTTCTGTCTTCCTATAAATGTAACATAAAAGCTGACAAATTCAACAGGCTCATATTAGTCTTAATTGCTCCTTCTCAGGATCTTAGCTGCTTTAAGTCGTTGAGGGTTACATGGCCCCTGATCATGCTGAGAATCAGAGTTCATCAAAACTATGGTTTTTTTGTAGCCGTCATCATGGCAATTCCACGGCTGTGATTTGGGAGGTGCCTTGATTTGGTGTGTCTGCTCATCGCTAACTGACTTATCTCTCTGCTTCTGTAGATGTCATTGTCCCTGAGAATGGAGAACCAGTGGGCACAAGAGAGATCAAATGCTGCATCCGACAGATCCAGGAACTCATCATCTCCCGGCTCAATCAGGCAGTGGCTAACAAGCTGATCAGCTCAGTGGATTACCTACGTGAGAGCTTTGTTGGAACGCTGGAACGTTGTTTACAGAGCCTGGAGAAGTCTCAGGATGTCTCAGTCCACATCACCAGTAATTATCTCAAACAGGTACTCAAAGAATGGTTATTAAGACACCATACCACATGGTCCACACAACTGTAGCCCTAGCTACTCGGGAGGCTGAGGCAGGAGGATTGCTTGAGACCATGAGTTCGAAGTTGCAGTGAGCTATGATCACGTCACCATACTCCAGCCTGGGAATAGAGCAAGACTTTATCTCTTTCAACAACAACAAAAAAAGACACCATGTCATGGATAACACATGAAACAGTTTACACGCAAGCCCAGCTTCAAGTTAGCCAAGACTTCCCTTTCAACTTTTTGCCAATCCAGTTCGAATTTTGTTTTTCTATCACATGACCACTGCTTGTGGGAGGTCCTGGTGAGCTGTACAATTATAATTAAGTTGATGAATTTAAGGATGAGGTAGAAGGACCTAAATAGTCACAAAATAGATGATTAACTTGAGTTGACTCTGCATATATGTTGAGGGATAGATTTGGAAGCCCTGAGTCTGGACTGTGTTCTTGAAGTAAATACTGTTTATCACATCTTTGAAATAGCCTCACTACCAAGGGCACGTTTTGTTTTGTGTGTTCTCTTTCAGATCTTAAATGCTGCCTATCATGTTGAAGTCACGTTTCACTCAGGGTCCTCGGTTACAAGGATGCTATGGGAGCAAATCAAGCAGGTAGGGGTTGCTTAGAGAAATAGTTTCCTGCCTTTACTTGGCTCAAATGAATCCTATCACTCCAATAGAGAACAGATATCTAGGATCTTCTGTTAAGGGAGGGTGGCCTTTTGTTCTGGTTTGCCTACCCAGGAGAATTCCGGTTTGTGCCTATTCTCAAATAATTATCAACAGTGTTCCCTTTAACTCTTAAAAGTTGTGCATTTAAATGATATTTTAAGTTGGGTGTTCTTTGTAGACAATAAAAAAAATGATTTTTATGGAGCTGTAAGACTCTACCTTACTAGCTTCTTCATATTTCTTTTTCCCAGCTTAAACGTTTTTTCAGAACCAGGCTTTGTTGTTGCCAGAGGCCATGAGTGTGGTTCCTGTTCTGGAATTTGATCTGGCTCTTATGTAGCATTATTTACTGACTTCAGAAAAAGATTTATCAGGCACCCCTTGGCACTGAATGTGACGCATTGAGGGTTTGTGAGCACGCAGACTAGGCCTAGTGTTATTCGATGCTTTCCTCCAGGCTAAGCCCTAATTTTGAGGTAGATGGAATTGGAAAGGAACCTTGGACTTCATATAGCTCCTATCTTAAGAGTCTCCTCCTAAGCAGTGGATAACCCAGAAAGGAAGGGTAGTGGGTCTTTGTGGTGGTTCTTGTCTCCCATTCCCCAGTGGTCTCACTGTCCTCCTCCTGGCAGATCATCCAGCGCATCACGTGGGTGAGCCCACCTGTCATCACTCTGGAATGGAAGAGGAAAGTGGCCCAGGAAGCCATCGAGAGCCTCAGTGCCTCCAAATTGGCCAAGAGCATTTGCAGCCAGTTCCGTACTCGGCTCAACAGTTCTCACGAGGCTTTCGCAGCCTCCTTGCGGCAGGTGGGTATGTAGGAAAGGAGAGAGCCTCATCCACGGGGGAATGTTTTGCTCTCTGCTCTTCATATAATTTTTTAAAAATCATCAGTATATTTTCTTTCTATTCTGTTCTAAGAAGTTTCATCAATAAATTTTTCATGTGGACATTTTTCTAACTCTAGGGAGAATAGAGGGAGGTCAGTTAATTTCTCCCCATTTCACTGAATGAGGGAAGAAAATAGAGGAGTAGGAATTTTATTTAAGTTTATTTAGTATTTTAGGAAGGAACAACAGAAGGGCTGACTTTCCAAATTCCATACTATTTCATAATTATGTGACATGTGCTTGTCTATTCGGGAGGAGTGTGTGTGTGTGTGTGTGTGTGTGTGTGTGTGTGTGTGTGTGTGTGTCAGGGCAGGGAGTGGATACATGTGATTATGCATCCAAGAGGAAGAAATTTTATTTACTGGGAGTCCACTACGTGCCAATCTCTGTGCTAAACATGTTAACGTGTATCTTATTTAATTCTCACAATTATCCATAGGAGGTAGATACTGTTATCTCTGTATAACAGGTGAGGAAGCTGAAGCTAGGTACTTGATAAGTCACACTGTTTTTTTCCTGTTTCCCTCCAGCTGGAAGCTGGCCACTCGGGCCGGCTCGAGAAAACCGAAGATCTGTGGCTGAAGGTTCGGAAAGATCACGCCCCGCGCCTGGCCCGCCTTTCTCTGGAGAGCCGTTCTTTGCAGGACGTCTTGCTTCATCGTGAGTCCTTGTTTTTCTCCAAGTAAATTGGAGGAGGGCTCAGGATACCTGATAAGTTTATGTCCAGCCTTGAAGAATCCCAGTGTCTAAAGCTGCTTCCTTGCAAAGCTGCCTAAATACTTACTGATGTGGTTTTGAATTCTTGTTTGGTCCCGCCCATTATATAGTTCAAGTAACATGACGGAAGTTTATTTGAATTAAACAAGTTGGGTTACTTTCTGCTGGTTTATAATGACACCGGAATTTCGTTCCCTGGCATGCTTACGACTCCCCGGCCTCTAGGCAGGTCCACATCTAAGAATCTTACAGAGGTTGCCCATCAAGTTCCCATCCATCCTGCCTTATCTCTGTTTCTGCACCTTGTAGGTAAACCTAAACTGGGACAGGAACTGGGCCGGGGCCAGTATGGCGTCGTGTACCTGTGTGACAACTGGGGGGGACACTTCCCCTGTGCCCTCAAGTCAGTTGTTCCTCCAGATGAGAAGCACTGGAATGATTTGGCCTTGGAGTTTCACTACATGAGGTGGGTCCTGGTCTCATTCATCTCTGTGGGAAAGATCTAGAGAAGCAGCCACAGCCTGGTATAAATTCTGTAAGCTACAGCATGCCCTGTCTCTCCATACCTCGGTTTCAAAATGTTACAGACTAGTATTTCTGTGTCTTGGCCAGACGTGTGCTCTCTTTAAGGCCTTTACTGTCTTTGCTTGCTCTTTCCCCAGCATCCTGATTTCTCAGACTCATCGCTCCATTGAACTTTCTTCTTTAGTCATTAAGGCCTTATCAACTTTTTGATTCCATGATTCTTGGTCCTTCTTGGGACAGGCCATTCTTTTTGCCTTCTGTCTGCACTGAAGGCCGTTGTGTCTGGACCTGGACTACTCATGGTCTTATTCCTTCCTGCATTTGGCATGTCATGCAGGATTACAGCCTGAGTGTTGTAGCCCAGAACTCTCTCACTCCTAGCAGGTCGCTGCCCAAGCACGAGCGCTTGGTGGATCTCCATGGTTCGGTCATCGACTACAACTATGGTGGTGGCTCCAGCATCGCTGTGCTTCTCATCATGGAGCGGCTGCACCGGGACCTCTACACAGGGCTGAAGGTGAGGCCAGGCGAGGAGGGAGCACGACCCAGCTGGCAGCCAGACCCACAGCTTCCTTTCTGGCATTTCATCCCTTTCTGTTTGCTCGGAGCTGCTAGCTTTCACAAGAGATGGTTGCAGTAATCAGACTTATTGCACTTACTTCCAAAAAGCCTTAAAGGTTTCTCAGAACCTATTTTTTGCCCCATTATACATCCAAAATACTGTCATTTATCACTTTGACCTCCCCGTGGTGGTGGTAAAAATCTCGGCTCCGTAGAAGAGCAGAAAGGCTTCCTAGAACTCTGCTCTTCTTTCTCTTTTTTGCTCCCAGTGGATAAAGCCAGTTTTTGTTGTTCAGTCAACAGATATTTATCAGTGGCTATTTTCTACAAGGTCCTGTATTAAGCACTATTGGGGAATATCAAAAAGTGTAACTGTCAGGAGCTTTTAAGAGAATTGTAGTCAGTGAATATTTCAAGAAGATGTGGAGTTTGAGTTTGGCAGGTATATCTTGATGCGTAGAGTTTGGGCAGTTGCAAGAAACCAGCCGTACCAGGGGGAGGAGAGAGCATAATGCCCAGAGCATCTGAAGGCCACTAAGGTCACCAGGCATGTTGGAGCAGCCAGTTTGTTTTGGGAATATGAAAAGATAAGGTGCAGAGAGATGTCGGGAACAAGTTATACAAGACCCAAAATGTTAAGAATTTCCATAGAATTCAAATTCTGTTGTAGACAATGAGAAGCTACTGAAGGATTTCATTTGAGTGAAGGTGAAACCCTCAGTTGGATGTTGAGTTTTGCTCCTCTAAAACAACTACCAAAAGGGAACTAAAGAGATTTCTTTTGTCTGTTCCCTGCACTGGAGCTGAGTAGGAGAGAAAAGCTGACCTCATGAGGAGTATCTGGGTAGGTCCCTTCTCACAGCTGCCTCTTGGACCAGTCTATACCGAGGCGTCCAGAGGTAGGGCACAAGGAACCTCAGAGGCGCTTCCAGGGGTCAGGAGGAATCGGTAGAGTCAGTATGGTGAAGAAAATGACTCCACGGTTTTCCCTCTTTGTTTCAGAGGAGTCAAGCACAGCACTGTCTGATGTTTTTCTGCAAGTGGGCTTGAGAACCTCATTGAGCTTTGGAATGAATGATGTGACATTTTGAAGAATTCAAGAGACCCTAAATTGAAGTAATATGAGTGACTTTGATATTTGAGTTCATAAAACCAAACCTGGGCTAACCCGGCCTATAAAGCAATGGAAGCAGATCTGCCCGAAGGACCTGGAAATACTTAACTTTGAGCCTCAAAGGCAGTTCCAGAGTTTGGTTTTTTCTTTTTTTGAGAGACAGGGTCTTGCTCTGTCACCCTGGCTGAGTGCAGTGGCACAGTCATAGCTCACTGTAACCTTGAACTCCTGGGATCACACGATCCTCCTGCCTCAGCCTCCCAAGTAGCTGGGACTACAGGTGCACACCACCACACCTGGCTAATTTTTCTTATTTTTTGTAGAGATGGGGTCTCACTATGTTGCCCAGGCAGTTCTCAAACTCCTGGCCGCAAGTGATCAGCCTCCCAAAGGCCTGGGATTAAGGCGTGAGCCACCACACTCAGCGTGGCAGAGTTCCAGAGTTTCAGATGTTAGAAATGAGCCCATGCCTCAGCTGTTTGGTTATACCTCTCCTAGTCATATGTGGGGTTGTCCAGTTGGGCCGACTGCAGCCTGTGAGGGATTTGATCTGACTTTGTCTCCTTTGCAGCTTGTTCTTCGCTTTCCCTCTACTTCCTTCTCCTAGCTACTTTCCCCTCCCCGCTTTTTTCATTGACTTTTCTGTCTTTGTGTGCCCGAGGGCAGTCAGTCTTTTAGTTCCCCACAAAAGGAAGTCTCATTTGGTTCAGACAAATTGAATTGAGGAGTTGCCCAGTTGGTGACAAGCTCTTTTGTCTCCCCAAGGCTGGGCTGACCCTGGAGACGCGTTTGCAGATAGCACTAGATGTGGTGGAGGGAATCCGCTTCCTGCACAGCCAGGGACTTGTGCATCGCGACATCAAACTGAAAAACGTGCTGGTAAGTAAGAGCTGTTGCCCGAATGTGGGTGAAGTGACCTTATGGAGGGTCCAGGTAAGTGGAAGTTTGGTCCTAGGAAATGTCCGCAGGGAAAGTAGCAGAGTTACCGACATAGTGATGGATGGTGTCTTGGACTTAAAGCTTAGGGAGCAGTTTCATCATAGACCTAACTTATGTTACATAAGGTTTTTGCCCCTACACTGTTCTGAAAAATCTTAAACCTACAGAAAAGCTAAGAGTGGTACAGTAAAGACCCATATACCCTTCACCCAGATTCACACCAGATTGTGACCTGGCAGGTCTCAAACTCCTGTCCTCAAGCAATCCTCCTGCCTCGGCCTCCCAAGTACTGGGATTACAGGCATGAGCCACTTTGCCCAGCCTAAAATCTGAAACTTTTTGAGTGCTGACTTGACACCCACAGGAAGTACTCACTGGAGCATTTTTGGATTTGGGGTTTTGGATTAGGGATGCTGAATCGTTAGGTATAACGCAAATATTCCAAAATCCAAAAAAATCTGAAATCTGAAACATTTCGAGCATTTTAGATAAGGGATACTCGGCCTGTAATGGGAGTGGAGCTGGAGGTAGGGAGGTCAGAGGCAGGGTTTATTAAGTACAGTCATGCACCACGTGACATTTCAATCAGTGACAGACTGCACATATGAGAGTGGGCCTGTAGGACTATAATGGAGCTGAAAAGTTCCTATTGCCTGGTGACTTAATAGTGCAATGTGTCTCTCACGTGTTTGTGGTGATGTTGGTATAAACAAACCTACTATTTGCCAGACATATAAAAGTATACAGCACATACAATTATGTATCGTGCATAATACTGGATAGTGATAAGAAGTGACTATGTAACTGGTTTATTTACTATGCTGTACTTTTATATGATATATACTGTTTATATGATTTAAAAAGTACTACTTCTATGCCTGTAATCCTAGCACTCTGGGAGGCCAAGGTGGGAGAATCGCTTGAGGTCAGCAGTTCGAGACCAGCCTGAACAAGAGCAAGACCGGTCTCTACTAACAATAGAAAAAATTAGCTGGGCATGGTGATGTGTGTCTGTAGGCCCAGCTACTTGGGAGGCTGAGGCAGGAGGATCACTTGAGCCCAGGAGTTTGAGGTTGCTGTGAGCTAGGCTGATGCCACGGTACTCTACCCCAAGCAACAGAGCGAGAATCTATCTTAAAAAAAAAAAAAAAGCTTATAGAACAAAGATAGAAAGAAAGAAAATATTTTTGTACAGCTGTGCAATGTATTTATGTTTTAAGCTAAGTACTATTACAAGAAAGCCAGTTTTAAAAATTTAAAAGGTTTATAAACTAAAAACGTGACAGTAAACTAAGGTTAATTTATTATTGAAGAAAGAAAAACAATTTTTATAGATTTAGTGTAGCCTGAATGTACAGTGTTTATAAACTACAGCAGTGTACAGAATGTTCTAGACTAGACCTTCATATTCACTGACCGCTCACTCACTGACTCGCCCAGAGCAACTTCCAGTCCTGCAGGGTCCATTCACGGCAAGTGCCCTATACAGGTGTACCATTTTTTACCTTTTATACCATATTTTTACTGTAGCTTTTCTATGTTTAAATATGTTTTAGATACACAAATACTTACCATTGTGCTACAGCTGCCTGCGTTATGCTGTACAGGTTTATAGCCTAGGAGCACTGGGCTGTACCATATAGGCTAGGTGTGTAGTAGCTGTACCATCTAGGTTTGTGTAAACACACTCTATGATGTTTGCACAAGGACAAAGCTGCCTGATGACTCATTTCTCAGAACGTACCCCCATCATTAAGCAATGCATGACTGTACTACTTTGAGGTACCTACTTAAGCTCGGATATGCAGCAGTGCTGTGTGCAGAATCAGAGACAGGCTGACTGTTGCCCTGCTTTGTTGGCAGCTAGACAAGCAGAACCGTGCCAAGATCACTGACTTAGGATTCTGCAAGCCGGAGGCCATGATGTCAGGCAGCATCGTGGGGACACCAATCCACATGGCCCCTGAACTTTTCACAGGTAAGGCTGAGGGGATGGGGGTGGGATTGGGCAGAGCTCATTACTCTAACCCTGAGTGCTCCCCTCGGGCTAAGTATTAGGTCATTAAATATGAAATGTCCAGTTTCAAATCAAAAGTGTGGTTTATTATAGCTCAAACAAGAAGCGGAACAATTAATCAAATGTGCCTAAACTGTCGACACAGTTTTGCCATCTTAACAGTAGCTTGTTCATGCCAGCAGGGAAGAAGCCTGGAGGCCGGAGAGGGGGAAATAATGAGGAAAATCACAGAATGGACATAAGCATGACAGTTAAGAAAGCCATTTAAAGAATGGTGGTAAACAAGGTTGGAGATAAAATATACTGACCTTGACAGTCCCACAGAGGAGTTAAGGCTCCTGCAAGACTTAAGGAGCTACTGAGTTTCTGAGCAGGGGAGAGATGAGGAGAAAATGTTTATGGAAGATGAGCTCAGCAGCAGTAGGTAGAGAGGATTTGATTGGAAAGAACCAAGGTAAAGGGACCAGATAAGTAGTGGTTGCCTCCAGGATTGGGTTGTATTAGTGATGAAACGAAAGAAGGGTGACAGATCTGAGATTAATTTAGAGGAAGAATGGGCAAGATTTTGTTATTAACTTGATATGGTCGATGAACAGGAAAGAATGGCTAAAAGATGACTCAGGTTTTGAGCTCAAGTGGATAGGGAACGGTCGTTCCATTGCTAGGAAAGATGGAAAGGTAGGTGCAGGTCAGTCGTTACTATTGGTAAGAGTTAAAATTAGCGATATATATGAAGTTCTCCCATTTTGTACACAAGACTTCCCCCAGCTCTTCACTGAGTGATACACATAATATTAGGTGTTAGCTAGACAGCTATAGTCCTACCCCCATCTGAACCAAATAGACAGTCATCATTGTTCTATCCCTAGATTTACTTTTTGAAAAAATTTCTGTTCACACTGCTATTATTCTGTTTTGGCTACTGCATATTTAAATTCCATCGATTGTTTCTACTGCAGTCTACCCTTTTGCTGTCAGAACCATCTTTCTAAAATGTTAGATCCTTCGTATCACCTGCTGTAAAACATAAGTGACTTCCTGCTGCCCACTAATTCAGACTCTTCTGTCTGACTTTAAAAACTCTATATTTCAGTAACAACTTACCCACCTACCTGTATTTCCCAACTTTATTTTCCTAATGTGACCTTTCAGGTTAATTTTTTTGACTGTCCCATTAAAATGAAAGGCCTCATTTTTCTTCTCCTTTGTCGAATTCTGGCCTTAGCTCTCTTAATATCCAGCTTTGACCTCCCAATGTCATGGTTTATTGTACTGGAAAGGGGAGTTACGAATGTGCCCTGCCTGCCTGACAGGGGTGTTGTGGGAGGTGATGGATGTTGACAGCTTTAGAGAAAATCATTTAAAGACCTCTGCGGGTGTGAGGTAGCAGTGATGTTGCTGCCTTCCTCTCCCTGGCTCACTACTCTTCATCTTGTCTTGCTATAGGAAAGTATGATAATTCCGTGGATGTCTATGCTTTTGGGATTCTTTTCTGGTATATCTGCTCAGGCTCTGTCAAGCTCCCCGAGGCATTTGAGAGGTGTGCCAGCAAAGACCATCTCTGGAACAACGTACGGAGAGGTAAGAGCCACCAGCACTGCTTTGTCCTAACTCCCCTGACAAGAGCAGGCTGAGCCCAGGCACTGCC